TTTGGAGCAAAAGTTTTAATTAATTGTAACTTTTAATTTACAGAAGTAACGAAAGACAAAATAGGAATGCTTTTACTGCTGCCTAAACGCAAGTCACAGAAACTACTACATAACAATTACTGCCATCTGTTTCTTGGTCACTTTGTTTTGTTTTGTTTTTAGTTATACATGACAGTAGAATATATTTTGACATATCATACATATATGGAGTATAACTTCCCATTCTTCTGGTCACTTTTTTGTAGTCTCAGGTTTTCTCTCCTACTTAAAAAATAGGAAGTAAAGAACAAAGAATGTGAAGAAAGAATCATGTTTTTCTTAACAGTATTCTAATCATCTCACAATTGTTTATTTATTTATTTGAGAGAGAGAGAATTTTTTAATATTTATTTATTTATTTATTTTTAGTTTTCGGCGGACACAACATCTTTGTATGTGGTGCTGAGGATCGAACCCAGGCCAAACTCATGCCAGGCGAKCACGCTACCTCTTGAGCCACATCCCCAGCCCCACAATTGTTTATTAATTATAGTGATATGAGTTGTTATTTAGCCTGTTGAAGGACTTTTTTTTTTTTTTTTTGGTAGTACTGGGGATTGAAACCAGGCATGCTTTACTACCAAAGTATATCCCCAGCCTTTTTTAAATTTTTGAGACGGGATCTCCCTTAAATTACCTGGGCTGGCATCAAACTTGTGACCTTCCTTCTCAGAGAAGCATCCAAATAGCTGAGATGAAGGGTGTGCACCACTGGGCCAGCTACTTTACAAAATACATTCTTGTTTCTCAGCATCAGTGTAAGAATAAGATTACAATACCCGTTTCATAGGAAAAAAATGAATGTTTGAAAAGGTCAGTAAGTAGTACTAGATGGAATTTAAGCCCACTTCTATCCCCCAAGCTACAGAGGCAGGAAAATGTTGCATCCCAAAATAGTCATTCTCAAACTTTATGATGAGACTAAAAAGAATTCCTGATCAATCTGTAGTTAAGGTAGAATATAAATATTAAGAAAGTGTTGATATTCTAGTATCTACCCAACAAATTAAGGTGAATTATTTGCATTATCAAAATGTTTTTGGTCCACATAAGTAGTATCTGTAGTTTTAAAGGAGTTGGAAATCAAGATCTTCTAGATAGACAATTCTTCTAGAATGTTAAAGTAAGACTTTCAAGTGTGGAATATTATAGAATAATATTTTTATTTTTTAGTTGTAGTGACACAGTACCTTTATTTATTTTAGTTTTAGGTGGACATATTGCCTTTATTTTATTTTTATGTGGTGCTGAGGATTGAACCCAGGGCCTTGCATGTGCTAGGCGAGCGCTGTACCACTGAGCTACAGCCACAGCCCCTAGAATGTCTGATATTTATTTGTTATACTTCCCTTTCTAGTGTCTTCAAACAGCTTTCTATGTCTTCCAGTTATACAGATTCAAAATCTGGGAATTGTCCTTGAATTTAACAAAAAGCATCCTTCACAGGAGGGAACCATAGCAATCCCAGCTCCAGAGATACATGGAGCATTTATTCTCTTGGCTAGTTTACATCCTTCAAAAAATCCCCTTTTTCTCCATTGGTAAAGCTAAGACAAAATGAAAATTTTTAAATGGAACTCAAAATTGATGAAGATAAAATGAAAACAGCATAAATACATATGGATTTTCTGCCATTGGGATCATAATCCCCATTTTTTCCTCTGTTAAACAATATTTCTTCCCACTCTGCCCCTCTCTGTCCCCTCTAGATGCAGAGACTTGGGCAGGAACAACTGGTAGCAAATGGAGCTGATATTTCCTCCTTTCCCTGGCTGGTGTGATAGTCCTCATACCCTCACTCAAGGCACTCTCTGCAGGGACCTCTTTACTCTTCCCATCACCCACCTAGCCACTTGCTAGATACTTTTGATAATCTGCTATCCCAAGTGTCCCCTTTATTTCCATTACAACCTTCAAAGTTCTAATTGAGGAGGTCAGGATTTTGTCTACAACAAATTCTAAAAATGACTGCATATAATTCTGGTTCTGCTCTGTGCCCCTCAGTTTTCCCCACGTTAGTACTGAGGGTTGAACTCTTACCTATGCTATGCAAGTACCCTACCACTGAGCTACATCCCCAGCCTCCCCCCACCCTTTTGAGACAAGTGTTCCTCAATTGTCCAGACTGGCCTCAGACTTGTGATCCTCCTACCTTATCCTGAGTAGCTGGGATTACAGGTGTGTGCTGTCATGCTCTGTTTGTGCCTCAACTCTCAACGGATTTCACAGGAAAGAGTTATGGTTTTTATACCTTGCTTTCACTTTCCATGTCCAAACCTTCAGGTGGAGTGGCCTCAGTGTCCAAATGGACAACCCATCTAAGACTAATTTTCCATTTCCTTCCTTACAGCAATCTTCATCCATTCCTTTCATGACCCCACCATGTCTTTGTTATGTTATACCTTAGAAATTGTAAATTCAGATGTCCCACCAACCACAACTTTGGATACTTCTCCAGTTCTGTTATTAAGGCATACTTCTGCCTTAAGTATGCAGCACCTTGACTTTTTCCCCTACCCAGTTAGACCTGTGTTTGTTCTTTTTCCTCCTTAATTACTTAAACCACTTTATTAACCCTCAACTTTTGTATACAGCCTGCTGAGTTCAGGCGTTTAAAATAATGTAACTGTGGCTGGAGGTATAGCTTAACGGTAGAGTGGGTGCATGGCATGCATGAGGCCCTGGGTTCAATCTCCAGCATCAAAACTACAATAACTCTGGCCTGGTGGTGTATACCTGTAATCCCAGCAACTTGGGAGTCTGAGGCAGGAGGATCACAAGTTTAAGACCACCCTCAGCAATTTAGTGAGGCCCGAAGCAACTTTTCAAGATCCTGTCTCAAAAAATAAAAAGGGATGGGGATGTAGCTCACAGTAAAGTGCCCCTGGGATAAATCTCTAGTACCCATCCCCCCACTTAAAAAGTACAATAAAATGATGTGATTGGATAGATAGGGACCTCAATGATATCATGACCTCCAACTTGTTGGCATAAGTACAGCCAGCTTCATTTCCCCACCCCCACTTTATGAATACTGTTCTTATTCTCAAGAGACAGAAATTTGCTAGTCTCTGTTTTCTCCTTGAGAGATAAAAAGATACTTTTCTCTGTTCTCAAGAAACAGTCACTTGCTTTCTGCAAAATCAGGTGATGCTACACCTGTCTCGGGGGCTAAACCTGCCCCTAACAAGAGGGTGGTCATGATTCTGGCCTATCAAAGGTAATACTCCAATTGGGAGTTGCTGCTGCTCTCCCTTGCTTGCTGCTGCTCTCTCTGCACAGAGCAGCCTATCTGGCCTGACCATAAATCTGCTTATGCCTCTCTCCTTGGAGCGTCTCTGTGTGATTAGTCCTTCACCAGTTTTCTTTTACAACTTCAACTAGACCAACAGTACTGCTGGTAAGTTTCAACAGACAGCTCTACCAGAGTTCTCTAAGTCTGTTCCTCTCTGCACCTTTATCACCTCCTTATCTGTTCCTTATCTAATAAAAGAATTTCTAGGGGCTGGGGTTGTAGCTCAGTGGGAGAGCACTTGCTTAGCATGCGTGAAGCACTGGATTTGGTCCTCAGCACCACATATAAATGAATAAAATAAAGGTCCATCAACAACTAAAAAACGTGTGTGTGTGTGTGTGTGTGTACACGAAGAATTTCCAGTTCTACCACCAAACCTACCTCAGACCCCACCATCTCAGGAAACTGAGGTAACCTCCTGGCTCATTACTATCAATGACCTTCAAATAGTTAACTCAGTTTGAAAACTGAAGTCTCTACATGTTGTGTGCCCTTCAAACATCAGTAATTCCTTCACAGTGAAGTCAGGAAACTGCTCCTGCCTGGGTCACCAGAACCACTTTTTCCTTAAATTTTGGGGACACTTAATCTTTATTTTACATGTCTTTGCTGTGGTATTCATCACATTGACTTCTCTTAGCTGCCCTCCTTACACTGTGGTGGCTTCTCTCCCTGCCCTTAGGGTCCTATCCTGGGCCTGTCTCTCATCCATTTCCATGGCTTCAGTTATCATTTATTCTCAGAGGACTCCAAAATCGCCAGCATCAGCCCAGACCTCTCAAATTTCAGTTACATCCATTTAATTATCTCGATATTTCTACTTGGATGTCCCATAATCATCTCAAACTTACTATGTCCAAACCTGTACTTTCAAACTTGTTACTCCACTCCTAAACCTGGGCAGGTTTCTTGACTCTTTGCTTTCATTCCCCAATGCACTCCTTCTCCTAAGCTCTGATCATGTCAGTTCTGAAGATCCTTACAAAGGTCAGATAACCCCACTGCAGTTAATTTTGGTTCAGGCCACTATCTCCCATTTATGTGGTAGCTCTTCTTACCTCTGGTTTTTCGCCATACTGCAGCCAGTGGTCTTTCTAAGGTAAACTGGGCTGTGCCAATCCCTAGCTTCAACCCCTTGAACGACTCCATGATCTTGTTTCTGCTGACTTTTCCAGTTCATGTGTAGCCATATTAAACGTCATAGAATATTTCTTCTCCTTTTACATCAAGGGATCCTAACCGCCTGGGGCGCAAACACTCCGGGTTCATGGAAAAGGCCAAGCCCTCGCCCTGTGGCCATGGGAAGCAGGTGAGCTCTATCCTTGCGCTTGGCTGCAGAAGCGAGAAGACACTGATTCCGTGTTCTCCTGGCAGCACACTGCAACCTTGAGAAGCAGCGACACCTTCCTCTTTCCCCTCGTGAGCAAAGACCAGAGGTGCCGCGCCTTTCCCACTAGCGAGGGGAAAAGGGTCATGGCCCAATCAGACCACAGACCCCTGGGTTCGAGACAAGGACTCTCCCGCCGGCCGCGAGGAGTCGCTCTCGGGCTGGACGAGGGCTGGGGTGTCGGGGCCATCCCCGCGACGCACTTTGGCGCAGAGCGCCCTTCCGAAGTCAGGCCGCCTGCCAATGCTGCTTGCGCAGGCGCACAGCACACTTCCGGTGCCGGGCCGCCTAGCAGCTCCTTCCCAGAAGGATGGTGCTGCTCGGTGGTCGGTTTAAGTATCTTCGGGCGGGACTGGGCATCCGGGCTTCCTCTTCTGGCGCCGAGATGCCTAAGAAAGCTAGTGCGACGAACAAGGCTAGTGTCAAGCCCCATGGCGTTGAGAGGGCGGGCCACCGGCTGCTCCCGGAGCGGGTGTGGAAGGCATCTCGGGCGGCTGGTTGGGTCTCAGTCCTCCGTCTCCCCCGCACCTGAGCTCAGTCCTCCTCCGGCACCTGGGCTACTTTGTCCTCGCCATCTACCAGGTGCAGTAGGAGCTGGACGCCTGTTCTCGCTTGGAAGGCTCTGTTCTTCTTCCACCGTCTTTGCATGGCCAACTCCAACTCAAGCACTGCTTCCTGCTAGCAGCTTCCCCGCTCTCCCAAGGCGGGCTACTTTCCTCCTCCCTGTGTGCATATTTTTGGTGCACTTAGCCCAGTGTACTGTAATTGTGATCCTTCTCTCGCTCTCACTGCAGTCTAACCTCCATGAGGGCAAGGACCTTGTGTCATCTTCATATATCCATTGCCTTCATACTGCCCTCTTAAGTAGTTTGTAATTTTCGAATGGGTTCTAAGTTCCTAGCACGGTCTTTAAATGTCAATCACTATTGTTCCTTCCACTTCATCTCCTCCAGACACACACATGACATACTCAGGTTTAGACCACATCTAATACAAAAATGAATAGTAGTAAATTGTCCCTGCTTCTGAGGAATGGGAAGTACAAAGCAGATTTAGGAATCAAGGCACTAAGGTATGGAAGCCAGAGTTGGGTCTTCTTCCAAAGCAGGAAAAAATATTTTGTGGTGTTTATAAGAAAACTTCATGGCATAATCCTTGAAGGACATGGGAAAAACATTCTGAATCAGAAGTCCCTGACTAATAAGCCTACTTTGTTCTGATTAAAGGTGAAGAGGAGTAGTGGAAGAATCAAATTAAATGTGTGGGGAAATATTTTTTAACCTGTACAATTATATGTTTCTTATTTTAGAGTAAAAGCCAAAGCAAGGAAGCAGAGAGACCACTTCCTCCCTTAGGTCCTGTGGCAGTCGATCCTAAAGGTTGTGTTACCATATCCATCCATGCCAAGCCTGGCTCCAAACAAAATGCTATAACAGGTACACCTGAACAATGGGTTGGGATTCTTGTGAGAATCAAGTGTCCCTTCCACCTTCCCTTTGCCTCATTTAGCTGACAGTAGATCCTATGACAGTTGAGTATATTTTTACATTTGCATCTAGATTCTCATGTAAAGGTATTTGAAATTGAATACATATTTAAATTATACCCAGTTAGATGAAACTATTGTCTTTTCCTTTCTAAAGATACATTGGTAAAAATGTGGTATTTTAAGAAAGCCACTTATGTACAGCCTAGATTATTCTTTTTTAATATATACATTTTTAGTTGTGGGTGAATACAATACCTTTATTTTATTTATTTTTATGTGGTGCTCAGACTCAAATCCAGTGTCTCACATGTTAGGCAAACACTCCACCGGTGAGCCACAACCCCAGCCCTAGATTATTCTTAATTTTTCCTATCCCAAAACTGAAAAGACAATGGCCAGAGAAAGAAAAGGCATTTCGGTCTCATTTAGTGATCACTGACCTAAGGAATACGAGAAAATCTGAGATCTAAAACCCCCATCAACTCCTACATGAAATTGTTTTTAAGTCAAAACAATATAAAACATTTCTAGGCCCAGTTTTATCATTTTTCACATTAGATAGTTGGACAAAGAGGCTTTCAAGCTATTCCCTCAAATCCTAGAAATGCCTCAGGAATCTCTTCTGGTGAAGGAGAAAGGCCAGCCAGTTACTTGGCTTCTGTAAATGTGTTTACTTTTGTTTTAAATATTGGGATTTCAGAGACAATTGGAAAAAATGAAGGATTTTAAAGGATAAAAGTTTAAAAACCATTTATCGAATTGTCTTGAAAGTCTTTTCTACTTCTAAAGCTTTGTATACCAGATTATATTTATATTTTGAAAATAATACCTCACAATTGATGTGCTAGATAGGCCTTATTTGTACTAATGGCCATGTTAGCTTGTCTCTATTGGGTACACCCCCTTGGCCAGCATTTATTTTATCAATCTAAGATGGTATCATTTCTATAGTACACAAGTATTTTATGTACCTTAGTAAGACAAAAATTCACATAAACACTTTCTTTTCCATCTACTATAAGACACGTCTTGATTTTCGCTTTGTAGGTAAAAAACTGGGCATCTGAGATTTGGTGACAGGATGGGAGGAGGGTTGTTTTATGACCTCATTCTTGTGGATTCTCTGGCCATATTGTTTACATTGGGTGTAAGTGGGTGGAAATGCCTGAGCAACCCCATATGCAGGATCAAGCTCATTTGTAAACTGCTTTGAGTAAATACTTTCCCTTTCTTAATAATAGTGCGTGCAGAGCTATAGGGCACATTACTTGATTCCAAATTCCTCACTTGTAAATTGGAGATAATAATGGTGTTACTATCTTCTAAGTCATTATGAGGCTTAGGTTAATATGTGTAGAGCCCTTCAAGTATATTCATGTGTGCTTCAAATTGGTGGGTAGTAAATACTATGTAAATGTTAAATAGACATTATCAAATTTTCAAAGCACTTAAGATGCATCTCACATAAGAGATGAACCTATCCCACTTTTCCTGATGTGGAAACCCAAACAACCCTTTACAATCCAGCAAGCTGCCTTGCTCATGCACTTCCTTAGTTACTTTATTGGGGCTGAAGCTCAGCTAATTTAATTCCTTACCTGGAGCTCTTTCTATTAGACCAAGTGCAGCTTCTAGTTGCCTAAATCCAGGATGCTCTCCAGGACTCTTAAGTCCATCTTGATCAACAGGATAGACAAATATTTATTTTCTTTTCTGAATTTATTTTATAATGGTAGTTGCATATGTATCATGTTTATGTTCCTTGAAGTAAGATTAGTTCAATAGTTTTTTGTTGTTGTTGCTGGGGATTAAACCCAATCCAACAGTTATTAATCAAAAATCTAGTGTGTGGCAGGCTCTTTTACAAAATTGCCTCACTTTAGGAAGAAAAAKAACCTCAAGGATACAGTACATACCATTTCATTCCAGATTTGACAACTGAAGCTGTAAATGTAGCTATTGCAGCACCTCCGTCAGATGGAGAGGCTAATGCTGAGCTCTGTCGGTATCTTTCCAAGGTTTTAGAACTCAGGAGGAGTGATGTCGTTTTGGATAAGGTAGGTCTCTCCTTTTTTCAAACATCTTTGATTATTGCCACATAATCATGATAAAATATTAATTTGCTTCTTCACATTATTTGGAAAACCAGTTTGTTTTTAACTCACATATTCATTTAATTACAAAAATCTGAATTCTTCCTGTGTAGTCTCCTGTGTTTCTGCTGCCTCAGACCTTATTCAGAGTTGTCTATACTGTCTTAGATTCCTTAATTGCCACCATTTCTAGCATTTTCTTCCTTCCCAAACCCATTGTGAGGTAATCTTGCAATTCTTCCTTAAGACATCACCACACCAAAAAAATGTAAAATGATTTCTTGTTGTCATCTCCATTAGAGTTCATCAGGTATTTCTAATCCTCCATGTTGTCTTTGTTCACTAGAAGAAGCTTGCCGCAGTCTGGCTGGGCACAATTCAGGAGCCACTTGTCAAAAGAAACAAACTTTATTTTTAAAACTACAAACGCCAAACAAAACAGCTCCTCAGGAAAAACCCTCAGAGCCCAACTGCCACCACCGGCTTCCACACCTCTCCCACACACCAACCACCACCTCCCACAATCCTCCTGCTCTTGAGGCCGATTGGCTAGGTCGCGTGGGCAGAGCCAAAGAAGTCCCCCAATGAGCAGTTCCGTAGTCTGAAGGGCAGGGAAACAGCCCAATGAACATGACCGCAGAGGAGCCAATCAGCTAGATGTTGCTGGGGCCACTGTGAGCCAATCATCAGCCGGCAGCTGGAAGTTTGCTGGCAGCTGGAAGTTTGCTGGGGCCCCTTTGGCTGTGGCTCTCAACAAAGCTCATCAGGAAATTAGTGGATTCATATGAAGTCATTAGTAACAAGGTTTTGTACTTCAAAATCACTGAGGAATGATTCTCAATACAGATTCCTGGGCGTTACCTTAAACATAGAATTTAGAGTTCAGAATCTTGAAATTGAATATGTAAGTGTGGGACCCAGCCATCATTGTATCTTGAAGTTTTACTTGATTTTCAATGCTATGTAATATAGATCGTATCTGGTGGCATTCAACATCCTTGATAAATAAACTGCTGTTTCTCCTGCCATCCCCAAGCTGTGGCAGGTCATTTCTTAATTTCTGCCAGTACTCATGTTTGGACATTTGCCTGAAAGGGTCTCCCCACTTTTCTACCTGTACAAATTATGCCAGTCTATATAAATTCCTGTTCAGATTTTATCTTTAAAAGATGTGCTTGAGTGGCTTGGGAGTCTAAGGCAGGAGGATTGTGAGTTCAAAGCCAGTCTCAGCAAAAGCGAGGTGTTAAGCAACTTGGTGAGACCCTGTCTCTAAATAAAATACAAAATAGGGCAGGGGATGTGGCTTAGGGGTTGAGTGCCCCTGAGTCAATCCCAATACCCACCCCCCAATAAATAAATAAAAGATGTGCTTGAGAACATATCTTTTTAAAAATTGTTTTAAGTGATAGTGAAATCATAGCACTTGGATATTATAGTGGCTCTTTGGACTTTTTAAGTTGTAGATGGTCACATTGCCCTTATTTTATTTATTTATCTATTTTATGTGTTGCTGAAGAACCCAGTGCTTCACACATGCTAGGCAAGTACTGTACCACTGACCCACAACCCCAGCCCAGCAACTTGTTTTTATTTAAGATTATGCAAAGTTTCTAGAAAACGCAATATTTACTTTGGTATTTTAAAATTATTTGTATCTTTAAACAAAAGAGTTACTTGAAACTAGAATATTGTAATTCATCATTTTGAAATTCTGATGCCAAACTTTTATCATTTTAGAAATTAAGGTATAAAACTAAAAACATTGATGAGTTGTAAAATCTGTAGTCAGGTGGAAGCAAAGAGACAGTTTTTGGTTGGACCAGACGTGGTCAGGAGAAAGTGTACATAAGCCATCTATAATGTCCCCATGAAAATATGGCTGTGATGGGTACAATGGAAGTCTGCTGTCCCTTAAGGCATTAGAATGTTTACTGTGCTTTCTTTCTTTTGATTCAGGGTGGTAAATCTCGTGAAAAGGTGGTGAAGCTTTTGGCCTCTACAACTGCAGAAGAAATCTTGGAGAAATTAAAAAAGGAAGCCGAAAAAAAATAAAATCAAAAAATGAAAAGTACATCCTTGAGGGACTTTTTAATTTCTATCAATGAAGAGGCAGCTAAATAGGAAAAATATATTTAAATTCACACAAACACAAAAATGGAGGTGAGAATGTGGGGAACAATGTATACTCATACATTGCTGGTGGGACTGCAAATTGGTGCAACCCCAATGAAAAGCAATGTGGAGATTCCTCAGAAAATTTACAATGAAACCACCATTTGACCCAGCTATCCCACTCCTCCGTTTATACCCAAAGGACTTAAAATCAGCATACTACAGTGATACAGCCACATCGATGTTTATAGCAGCTTAGCTCACAATAGCTAAACTATGGAACCAGCCTAGGTGCCCTTCAACAGATGAATAGATAAAGAAATTATGGGATAGATGCAAAATGGAATATTATCCTTGAAGAAGAATGAAATTATGGCACATGCCAGTAAATGGATGGAGCTGGTGAATATCATGCTAAGCAAAATAAGCCAATTCCAAAAACTCAAAGGCTGAATGTTTTCTCTGATGTAGATGCTAATTCACAATAAGGGGAGTAGCTAGGGAAGACCAGAAGTACTTTGGATTAGGCAGAGGGCAGTGAAGGGAGAAGAGGGATATGGGAGTAGAAAGGATAGTAGAATGGCCACGTGTGGTGGCACACGCCTGTAATCCCAGCAGCTCGGGAGGCTGAGGCGGAGAATCGCAAGTTCAAAGCCAGCCTCGGCAAAAGTGAGGTGCTAGTCAACTCAGTGAGACCCTGTCTCTAAATAAAATACAAACTAGGGCTGGAGATGTGGCTCAGTGATCAAGTGGCCCTGAGTTCAATCCCCAGTACCAAAAAAGAAAGCAAGCAAGCATAGTAGAATAAATACCATGTGCATATATGGGGATGAGATTTGATGTGTATGACTGGTATGATCTTACATCATGTACAACCAGAAGAATGAGAAGTTATACTCCATTTATGTATGATGTGTCAGAATGCATTCTATTATCATGTATAACTAATTAGAACCAAAAAATGTGTGTGTGTGTGTGTGTGTGTGTGTGTATGTATGTGTGTGTAAAGACTCAAAAAGTAGAAATTTATGCTGGATATGGTGTCGCACACCTGTAATCCCAGCAGCTCAGGAGGCTAAGGCAGGAAGATCAAGAGTTCAAAGCCAGCCTCAGCAAAAGTAAGGTGCTAAGCAATTCAGTGTGATCCTGTCTCTAAAATACAAAATAGGGCTGTAGATGTGGACCAGTGGTCGAGTGCCCCTGAGTTGAATCTCTGGCACACATACACACACACACAAAATTTTTAAGAGCACTGAACCTTGAATACAGGTTCTAAAATTCCTGACCTCAAACAGCCTGAAACTTGTAATTCTGATTTCATGGTATTATAATATAATACAGCTGGAAAGGATATTCAGGATGACTGATTTAAATATTTGCTCTGTGATGAGGTTTCTGATATCCAGAAGTTGGGAGAATTACTGAAGATCATATCACACAAAATGGCAACTAGAACCCAGATCCTCTGACTCCTTATTTATTGCAGTTATCCTAATTATAAACAAAAATTATAATATTTCCAGTGTTTCTGAAATCTGGAGTTTGCCTCTTAATCCAGTTTTCAAGTAACAGAGGAAATCTGTCATGCTGCTTTTGTAGTCTTACCTTATATTTTAAGATAATGTTCTCAGTGCAAAAATATGCTGGGTGCAGTAGTTCATGCCTGTAAATCCCAGCAACTCAGGAGGCTGAGGCGGATGAGGATTATGAGTTCAAAACTAGCCTCAGCAATTTAGGGAGGCCCTATGCAACTTAGGGCCTTAGACCCCTGTCTCCAAGAAAAAAAAAGAGCTGAGGATGTGGCTCAGTGGTTAAATGCTCCTGGGTTCAGTCCCTGGTACAAAAAAATTAAATGAAAAAAAAAACGTTTTAACATCTTTTAAAAACTGTATAGAGCTTTTTGTGAAAAAGTAAATAATAATCAAGACTTGTAACAATTATTTTTGAGAAATAATTGAATTTTTATTTTTAAATTTTATTATTTTTTGATACTGGGGACTGAGCCCAGGGTTACTTTTTCACTGAGCTACATCCCCAGTCCTTTTTATTCTTTGAGACAGGGTATTGCCAAGTTTCTGAGGCTTTCACTAAATTGCCCAGGCTGGCCTTGACATTTTGATCCTCCTGCCTCAGCCCGAGTCATTGGAATTACAGGTGTGTACCACTGCACCCAGCTGAGAAGACACTGGATTTCCTTCCATCTCAGTGGTAACTTAAAATCTTAAAATCCATTATTTCTTCCAAATCCCCAAAGATCCTTAAAAAAATGAAGAGGACCTGGAAACTATTTTCAATATTTGTAAAGTCTATCAGAAATCACATCTATATTAAAGCTGAAAAGATAATATATTCTTATATATTTGGTGCAAGTTATAGAAATTTAAATAACTAAATTACCTTGACTGTCTTTGAACTCACCATCCTGCTGCCTCAGCTTCCCTAGCCCCTGGGATTACAGGCATGTGCCACATTGCCTGGCTACATAATTACTCTTGACAAAATGGTTTAACAATAACATTGGTGACTACACTATATACTAGGAAAGAAAAACCTGGTTTATTCTGCCCTGGAGGTAGGAGCAAAGATTTTGGATTCCTGATTCCCATGGACCATCCACACTCAGACAGGTGTGGATGAAAGATGGAAGATGGAGTGAGAATCAAGTTCTAAGCAGCCCAAACTCAAAAAATTTAGAGGCAGTTTTTTTGGGTTGTGGGCTACCAGCATACATCCCTCTTAGATATCCCAGGGTTTTGGTTCCTTAAATGTAAAATAGAAGACAAATTATAGAACCTACCAGGCCCCAATCACATTGCTTTAATGCAAATGACTAGAAACCAAAAACTTAAGAAGCTAGATTTTCAATTTATATACTAGAGGTGGCACTATAATGCAATAGCAGAAAGCCAATGTAACTTGATGTAGGGAATTAACAATTCCTTTTGAAGTGAACCAGCACTATTAAGAAGTTCATTCTTTTTTTAAAAAATATTTTTTTTAGTTATACATGGGCACAATATCTTATTTATTTTTATGTGGTGCTGAGGATTGAACCCAGTGACTCACATATGCGAAGCAAGTGCTCTGTCACTGAGCCTCAACCCCAGCCCAATTAGGAAGTCATTTTGTACTGCCAATCTGTATCACACATTAATCCTTCTTGTCTTTCTAGAAATGTTCCTTAGACCCCTCATATCTTAAGGAATTTACCTCAGGACTGTCTTTACTTGGGTCAGTTGGGTTCTTAGGGATTCCAGTGCCATGGTGGCATCAGTATGGTCCTGAGTACCTCCCTTAATGTTGCAGCTGTCAGAAATCTCCTGTAGTCTGTGTTTCTGAAATTAGGATTGGGCTGGGCATTTGGCAAGGAACTAATTTCTAATCATGATGGCAACTTATTTGAGTGAATACACCTTCCAGACAGGATATATAGTGGGATTCTCCACTGAGTACATGCTGTTCCCCATGTCATCATGTGAATCCTGATTGGAAAGCCTGGGATCAGAACCATGAAACTATGACCATCTGAGCTCTCATTTCTTCCACTGGAATGGATCTAGTATCAGCCACAGCTCCTCTTCTAGAACAACTGGATCCATGATCCAGGGACTCTTTCCGTGTTATAAAAAGGCTTTCTTCCAACAGTTCTTTTAATTCAGTTGATAAGTTTAGCATAACCCTAGTCTGCGTTAAGATCCCCCAAGTACCTTTATAAAATTTCGGGTACAGAATCCCCAAACTTTGCAGCCAGAGGTTAGACTCCCTGGTCACTCCTACATGAAACTCACCTCATGATGATGTGGTTTTGCTATCATGGTCGCTTTCAAATTGCTTTAAAACCTGATTTCCTTAAAGATGCTTTGGGGAATTGGGTCTCTGAAGAATAAGGGAATGAGTCAAGTCACCAACTTCAAGCCTTTAATCCTCTTCTAAAGCTGTAATGTCCAAATGGTGGTTGCTCACATGTGGCAAAATGTGCTTTTTAAACTGAGAAATAAAAAAACCATCAAATAAATAAAACTCACATTGGAAAAAACAACAAACAGGAGTCTGAAAACATGGTAAGAAATTTAGAGGGCAAGACAAAGAACAGTGAGCAAAAGGAAAATGGCAGCTATGGAAGTCAGTTAAAGGAAAATCAACATCTACATAATTGGTTCCTGAAGAACAGAACCAAAGAAATGGAACAGAACAAATATTTAAAGATATAATTAAGAAAATACTGAAGAAATAAAAGATGAATTTGTAGAAAGGGTGCATGTCCCAGGCGAAACAATGACCAAAAGAATCAACAGGGAGATACAACCTAGTAAGAATTTCCTGGTTTCAAAATTTTTAAAAAAGCTCATGAACATCCAGAGAAAAAAAGCTGAAGTCACAGGGAAGGAGGCAGCACATACATGTACATTCAAAATGTTGCTGATGGTAATGTAAATTGCTATTGTTTTAAAAATGTGTCAACATTTATTAAAATAAAATAGACCTTTTAAACCAACAATCTACTTTTGAGAATGTACATAGATACATAAAAACACTAAAGGACATATGTATAAAAGCAATGCAGCATTGTTAATGCAAAAAAAGAAAGGGAGGGAAGAAAAATGGAAGAAAAGGGGAAAAGGAGGAAAAAGGGAAGGAGAAAAAGATGGGAAGGACCTATCCACCTATAAGAGAACAATCATAATCAAAAGTAAATTCACATAATTTACTTCTAATTTATAGCTACTGACATAGAGTGATGCATTATATTGTTAAGTAAATAATTTTATGTATGCAGGTATTAAAAATATATAACTCCACTTTAGTAAGAAAGGGAAAAATATATGTACATCAAGTTTACATACACTTGTGTGAGCATGGTGAACAAGATAAAACCATATACATCAGGTTGAATGCAGACTACTCATTTTTGTACTCATTTTTGTATCATACTTTTTATGATATTTTGTATAT